TCTTTCAGTGGCACGGGGTAAGCCACCAGTTACTCTGGAACAGAACGTTTCTCCAGTCTGCATTTTGAATGCCTGACAGTAGTTGAAAGTAAACTATTTCTTTGTAGATTTGGATGGTTTAGAAAAGGGGAAGAGTTGCTTTTCAAAGCAAAGCTATTAAGCCTGGCAGTATGGTTGATTGAATGCAGATATCACTCTGAAAGAAATACAACACAATTGCTGACTGGCTGGCTCATGAAATTAGAAATAAATGAAACCATCTGCTGGCTGATGCACTCAGCCGAAGTAGCTGCTATTGAAAACAAGGAACTGATTTGGACCTGGATATAATTGTGTGTGTGTTATAATTACCAATAAGAAGACAGAAATATCCAAGCCGTCTAGAGAATCTAGGTGCCACCAAAAAACACAAATGAGTAACCTAAATCAAGCAAAACGTGTTTACCCCCAGAGGTTACATACTCCAAGCTCCCACAACCCCCTACCAAAAAAAGAAAGAAAGACTGTTTCCTTTTTCATAGGACAGGATGACTGTCTAGGAGAATGATTAAAACATGTGAGAATTAGACTGAAGAATTAAAACATGTCTCTTAATTGGGCTGAGGAAACCTTGGGCTGTAATTCTGTGTTCTGAGTCCACTATTTCAGTGGTTTGAGATCTGTGTAGTCTCTTCTAGCCTAAAAAATATTGCAGTGGAAAGCAAATGAGTGCAGACACCAAACAAATGTAGCCAGTAGACTCAGAAGAGAGCACTTCTGGACAGAACCAGTCAAATATGGTTACTCCTGTCCTGGAAATGGCAGAAATCCTATCAGAGCAGGGAGGAGTTTTTGTTCGTCCTTCTATACTACTGTTGCAGGTTTTGTAACCCCAAATCTCTCCAGATTTAGTCAAACATCACAGGCTTAAATGTCAATAGTATGAAGATAGCACATAGCAACCCAGTTAATTACCATTTATTCAAGACCAATTAATGGATAAAGAAAAGCTAGTTGAAGCAAGTAAGAATTTTTTCTGGTTCGGAGTCCTGAGGTTAACAATTCTAAACTAACAATGTCTTGCCTTCATTTTTAGATTGGGTTGAATGTCATTTTTCAATCTTTTTGTATGCATTTTTAAGATTCAGGCAGTTATCACATGTGACACATACCGAGTTTGTATAATGCAAAGCAAGCTCTGGTTCTGCTAAGGGCAGAAACCTATTTCACTTTGCGGACAACCAAAGTGTAGGCTGAGACTAAGTTACCCAGCTAAAGTGTAGGAGTGATTCTATTACCCACTATTGGAACATAGCTGCCCCTATATTATAGGAATATGGAGGCAGCTGCATATCTCAAAGCATGCTACTTTTCCTCTAATGGTGGCATTTATGTGTCCAGAAGAGGTAACAGAATCACTCGTACATTTTAGTTGGGTTAACTCAGACTAAGGCTCTAGCTGCTCTTTAGTCATCCACAATGAAGTACAATTCTTCCCCATCTGTGCTTCAGCAAAAGGCCATCACCATTCATGTGAGGTTTTGCAATTGATGGACTTTGATGTTAGTGGTTATGTACCTTTCTGAAGTAGCTATGGAAGTCCATCAAACTAAAAGAGGTGACAGTGCCTCTCAGCACCCCAGAGGAGGGGGAAGAGGTGGATTCCTTCCTGGGTGTATCCCTGGCTCTGAATCAAGGGAACTCTTCAGGGGAAAACAAATCCTGACATCCAGTCAAAAGATACTTCCTAAGCTACTGATGTAGATGAGCCAAAAACGTATCCTTTATGTATATCTTAAATTTGTGCTAGAATTTAAAGAGCTCTTGACACTCCAAGGAAAAATCTATCAAAAAGGCATTCTGTTTAAGGGCATGTTGCATCCTTGTCCACTGCCTATCTCACTAGATTTCTTACTAGAATTGTATACATAAACAATACTTTGGCTTTAAAGATCATGTAAATCCTTCATGGCTTTTCCCCAACTGAAATCATAATCTCCTACATACTGCCATTGCATTTGGCTGTATAACTATCACACAAACACCCCAAACCTGGCTCAAGGCCCATTGTGCTAAGCACTGTACAGTAAGACAGTCCTTGCCCCTAAGAGTTTACAATGTTAATAGACAACAATTAAGCATACTGGGAGAAGGGATTTAGCAGCAAGCAGGATGAACAATGATGGTTTGGCAAAGGTCATGTTTGGAGGGAAATGATTACAATGTCACAGGGCAAAGACTGAAATTTCAAGAGAGGAAATATGAAATAGGAATAGATCAGAACTTAAAAACAAAGATTGTTTTCATCCCATTAACCTTGGTTGTAAAACATAAAAGGTGGAGAAAATGTAAATAAGTGATATATAAGCACAATGCCCTTTGAATTATCCAGTTTTCTTTAACTATAACAGGATGCATCTAATAAGGAAACTGATAAAATATCTATCTTGAAATGCTTCCCTTAAAGAGCATGTATATTCAATTTCATGCCAAACAGCAAAAGAAGCCAGCAAAGTAATTAAGAAAACAATTTAATTTTGTAACTCAACGACTAAAAATAAACTAATAGGATATGGAGGCTTTATGTCACCTGTTCATTGATGGCCTCAATACAACAACTGTTAATATTTAATGGCTGTTCGGTGGTCTATGAGAAGCAAGTTAAGCAAGCTCAGTTCAGTTCCCGGTATGCACCTAGTCATAGCACAAGAAAAGCTCACAACTAGTACCCTTGGGTACTCAGCAGGCAAGGACTGAATAGACCTGGAGACTCATCATCCCTTTCAACTCTAGAATGGTCCCTCCAGAGCAGAGTTTACCGAGTTATTGGGAGTCACTCGATGGTGCACTCAGCAACAGTGTTAAACTGTTTATTGTCAAGTTGTGCTGAGGGTTTGCAAGCAGATTTCCTTGTCTACTGGTTTCTGTACATGGGTTTTGCTCCCTGAAGAACACAAACACAGACTTTTAAACTGGAGGTGGCCAACCTGTGGCACACATGCCACAAGTGACATGGGCAGCCTTTGTGTGGCACGCAGTAGACCAGGGAGGGGACAGGCAGGACAGTTGCAGATAGAACAGTAAGCAAAAGCAGAGCAATAGATTGGGCAGGGAGTACAAGGCAAGGGACAGAAAGCATAGCAGCAAATTGGGCAGAGTAGGGATTAAAGTGACACTCAGGGAGGGTGCAGGACTAATTTGGGGCATACCTGCCAAAAAGGTTGCCTCCCACCCCTCTTACAAACAAAGAAACCAAGCAAAACAAAATCCTACAATCCTACTATTCTGTCTTGGACACTGGGAAGGAAATCCTTTTTGCTCTGACCCCAACATACACCAAGCAGTTCAATTCACAATTTGCTTTCTCCGCCTTGCAAACTGCTCCCTCAAAGTGTGCTACTCATCTGCTCTCTCTTCTAGGGTTTTAAGCTCCCAGTGGGACACTCTATCATTATCCAAATGCCCCACAACGGAGATTCCTCAACTGGATTGACAAATCCCTCTTAAAGGGACAGACTGCTCTGTTACAGGATTCCTTTCCCTTGAATGTCTCTGATGAAAAATCATGTCTAGGTGTTACTACTGCCTACAAGTTGTACCCTCAAAAAACAAACCAACAACCACCTTGGTAGGGCAATTATTAGAGTAGGAACAGATTATTAAGGTAATGTTCTTCCCTATTGCACCAAAGAGAAAGATGCATGCAGTCAGAGATACTGAAATATTGTTATATGATGGTATTTAACTTGCACCAAATGTTATAAAAGAATACCTGTCCAATATGCTGACAATACTTAAAATTACACTAAATAAATATTTTAAAATCTATAATATATAAAATTACAAAAATATATAGATAAGTGAATAAATGAGACATTTAAATGTTATTTAAGCATTCCGAATTAATATTAATGTTTTACAGAGATTGTTTTCCACCACAAGGGATTCTTGATAATTGTTCCAAGTGGATTTTATTAATAAAGCTGACTGGAGGGTGACAATTTCATTTTTCTGGCAATTTTAGAAGTTCTGAAATTCCTTTTCTATTCTGCATTGGAATACATATGAAATCTTTCATATGATATTGTGTTGAAATGCCTATTTTTGGATCAAAATCTGAGAATTTCCGTTCAGGAAAGGTAGAAATGATTGAGCATCATGGTCACTCTATAGCCTTAGATACTGGCTTGGGATATGGAAAATGCACGTTCAAGTCCCTTCTCAACGTCATTCAGAGGCTGGGAATAAACTGAACCAAGACTAGTCATATCTAATGCCAGTGATCTAATCTCCCAGTTATACTATGCAAGAGTGTTTTCAGTGAGACTTTTATTGAAATCAATATGGCTCTGCAAAATATTTTAATTTCTGATAAAAAAAAGCATTCTACAATAAAAATTAATTTTGCCAAAAATGTCATTGGCTTTACTTGGTAGTAGTAGTAGTAGTAGTAATAATAATACCACCTACGTCATATACAGCAACTTTTATCATTTGATCTCAAAGTGTTTTATTCCCATTTTACAGTCACCTAGCAGGCTAGTTGCATAACCAGGAACTGAATATGGGTATTCTAAGTACCAAGTCACTTCGCTTTGATCAAAAAACTGCTCTCAGATGTAACTTACTGACTGTAGCTAGTAGAGCAACAGCTGTTACAAGTCATACTTCAATCAGATTTCAGTCATATTTCATATGACTGTCTCTATAGAACTCCAACCTTTACAAAACCACGACTAAGGTATTACAACTAAAAACATGACATGACAAATGATATTTATTTCTTGATAATTAATCTCTTCAGTTCTATTAAGATGAAGGTGATTTAACCATTTGCTACTGAGTTTAATAACTGATCCTCTGTATGACATCATTCATTTATTTTACGTAAACTTATTATGGGTCCATATTATGGGTAGCAATACATTCATACAGCTATGTAACACTTAGCACCTCCTAAATATTACAGTGTAATATATGACACTGTACGGATCCAGAGAAGTAGTAGATGAGTTACTTACCTTGTACACACATTTAGGGTCAAATGATTTATATCATTTTTCTCATCATTTACAACAACATCTAAGTCAAAGGCTTCTGGACTTTGGGCAGATCTGCGCCTTCTATGAGTGACTGAATGCTTCACGTTGTAAATAATGTTGAGCTGTGAAATACAAATACAAACATAGATGACCTCTGTGCAGCAAAAATGAATGAGCCAAATAAATTAGCTAGATTTCAAAGTGTTACACAAATTGCCAATTGTTACATTAATTCAGTTCATGCTACAAAAGCAGGGACAGTAGTACACCGTTTCTTCTCAGGATTCTGTTCCTTATCCCACTCCAGTGACAAAGGCCTGCAAAGTAAGTAAGGGCACATATAGCTACAACATAAAAGGTATGCAGGACCAGCAAGCTGCTTGCCACAGCTTTTATTTCAAACGGTGCCACTTTTCCAATCAGCTGCTTGAAGCAGCTGTAGAAGAGCTAATGTCTTCAGGGAGGTCTGAATAGTCAGAGGATGATCTGCTCATAGAATCATAGAAAGTTAGGGTTGGAAGGGACCTCAGCAGGTCTTCCAGTCCAAACCCTGCTCAAAGCAGGACCATCCCCAACTAGATCATCACATCCAAAGCTTTGTCTAGCCAGGTCTTGAAAACCTCCAAGGATGAAGATTCCACCACCTCTCTGGGTAACCTGTACCAGTGTTTCACTACCCTCCTAGTAAGGAAATTCTTCCTAATATCTAACCTAAACTTCTTTGGCTGCAACTTGACTGTTGCTCCTTGTTCTGTCATCTGCCACTACTGAGAACAGTCTAGCTCCATCCTCTTTCAAACCCTACTTCAAATAGTTGAAAGCTGCTATTAAGACCCCTCTCAGTCTCCTCTTCTGTAAACTAAATAAGCTCAGTTCCCTCAATCTTTCCTTGCAAGTTATGTCCCCCAGCCCCTTCACCATTTTTGCTGCCCTCCGCTGGACTCTCTCCAATTTCTCCACATCCCTTCTGTAGTGGGGGCCCCAAAACTGAACACAGTACTCCAGATGTGGACTCACTAGTGCTGAATAGAAGGGAATAATCACTTCCCTTGACTTACTGGCAATGCACCTACCAATGCAGCCCAGGATGCCATTAGCCTTCTTGGTAACAAAGGCACACTGCTGGCTCATATTCAGCTTATTGTCCACTGTAACCCCCATGTCCTTTTCTGCAGAGCTGCTGCCCGGCAAGTCAACCCCCAAGCCTGTATTTGTGAATGGGATTGTTCCGCCCTAAGTGCAGGACTTTGCACTTGTACTTGTTACACCTCGTGAGATTCTTTTTGGCCCAATCCTGCAATTGTCTAAGTCACTCTGAATCTTGGCCCTACCTAAGGTACTCCACCTGGGAAGGAGGAACCCTCAGCACACCTATAGGTTGGGGAATGTCTTTCTCAGCAGCTTAGAGGCAGAGAGGGAACTTAGAGTCATAATTGACTCCAAGATGAACATGAGCCAGCAGTGTAATGAGGCCATCAACAAGGCCAATCACACTTTGTCATGCATTAGCAGGTGCATGACTAATTGAACAAAGGAGGTGATGCTCCCCATCTATGCGGCACTGGTCAGGCCACAGTTGGAGTACTGTGTCCAGTTTTGGGCGCCACACTTCAAGAGGGACGTGGAGAATCTGGAGAGGGTCCAGAGGAGGGCCACTCACATGATTAGTGGCCTTCGTGATAGACCCTACGGGGGAAGGTTGAGAGAGCTGAATCTCTTCAGCCTTCACAAGAGACGGCTGAGGGGAGATCTTGTGGCTGCCTATAAATTTATTAGCGGAGGTCAACGGGGAATAGGGGAAGTGCTGTTTACTAAGGCGCCTCAGGGAGTAACTAGGAATAACGGGTGTAAACTAGTTGAGAGTGGATTTAGGTTAGATATTAGGAAGAAATTTTTCACAGTAAGAGTGGCCAGGATCTGGAATGGGCTTCCAAGAGAGGTGGTGCTATCACCTAGCTTCGAGGTCTTCAAGAGGAGGCTAGATAGTCACCTGGTTGGGGTCATCTGACCTCGGTCCTCTTTCCTGCCAGGGCCAGGGGGTCGGACACGATGATCCATTGTGGTCCCTTCCGACTCTACAATCTATGAATCTATGAATCTTCCAGAGTATCTACTGCTCCCCCCATCATGGTGTCATCTGTAAACTTGCTGAGGGTGCACTCTATGCCATCTTCCAAATTGTTGATGAAGACATTGAACAAAACCGGCCCCAGGACTGACCCCTGGGGTACTCCACTTGATACCACCTGCCAACTAGACATCAAGCCACTGATTGCTCCTCTCTGAGCCTGATACTCCAACCAGTTTTCTATCTACTTTACAGTCCATTCATCAAGCCCATACTTCCTTAGCTTGCCTCAGAGAATGTTGTCGGAGAAATCAATGTACACCACATCCACCCATCTCCCTGCATCCACAGAGCCAGTCACCTCTTCACAGAAGGCAATCAGGTTAGTCAGATATGACTTGCCCCTGGTGAATCCATGCTAACTGTTCCTAATCTCCTTTTTCTCCTCCAAGCGCTTAGAATTCCTTGAAGATCTGCTCCATGATTTTTCCAGGGACTGAGGTGAGGCTGACTGGTCTGTAGATCCCTGGATCGTCCTTTTTCCCTTTCTTAAATGTGGGCACTATGTTTGCCCTTTTCTGGGATTATTTCAACTGATCATTTCACCTGCTCAGGAAAGTATGAATGGGAGCAGCCAAACCAGAGACAGTGGAGTCAGGATTAAGCAATCATGGGCTAGCTATGTTGTGTGAACAGTCTTGACAAAATATTAATTCAACAAAGGAAATTAAATAGCCTGGGTGGTCTAGAGCCCCAAACCAGCCAGGCACAAAGCAAACAGAAGATTCAGAGATACAGATACTGTTAGACGTCTTAGACTGATACACTTCTTGTGTGATGTTCACTCCTAATAGCAGTATCTTATTGCTGAAACTTGATACAATGTTATCAGAGCCAGAGACAAGAGAAAGAGTATATAATTGAACAACTCAGTGGAAAGAACACTAACAACAATGAAAAGCTCAACTTGAATATTATCAAAGTGATAAAAACAAACGCAAGATGTCGATAAAGGATGCACCGTTAAGTGCTAATAAATATTTGGCAGACTTACAATTATAACCAACACTGTTGCAGGGCACCTCAGTGCCTGCTCCTAGGGAGTAGAAACTGCCAGGGAGAGAGAGCCCTGGTAGGACATAATGAGCCCAGCTGAGGGTTGCCAGGGTAATGAGCCCAGCTGCGGGTTGCCGGGGCAACTAAGGAGAGCCAGCTGCCTGTAGGAGGCAGGGCCTGGCCCTTATAAAGCCCAGGGCTGAGGCTAGGCTGGCAGTTCTCTGCCAGTAGCCAGGGAGGTAGGAGCTCCGGGAGTGAGGATGCAGAGAGAAGCCTAGTAGCAAGTACCACTGTTATATGGAGCAATGTGGTTATAGCCAGAGGGCATGTGTTTAAGTTATAGCCAGGAGGCTTGTGGTTATGTTTGGCTCTGATATTACACCGGAGGTTTGGGTGAGGCTGTAGGGGTTGGAGGAGGCCTCATAGGGACCCCAGAGGGGTGGGGCCCCAGTGCCTGAGTGAGGGCACAGTACTTTAAGGGGGAACCCCAGTGGTATGGGAACCCTGGTGCCAGTGAAGGCGCAGCTTGTGGCGTGGAGTGCAACCAGTGGCTTGTGGGCGGGGAATATAGACCCCGGGTTGTGTGTGGGGCACGGAGACCCCAGCCCCAGAGAGGGGCAGCTTTGTGAGGCCCCAGTGTGGGCATGACGCCCAAGGTGGGCATGGTGAGCCCTGAAGAGGGGGAGCGCCATATTGGGAAGCCCGAGACGGGCATAGCGAGCCCGGCCGTAGGCTAGTGCGGCAACACCCCTCAGACAGAGGCAAGGTGCTGCGGTTGTCCCTGAGGAGAGGGGATAGCAGTGCGGTGAGCCTGGATCAGAGGGTACCTGTGCGGTTGGCCTGAAGGACCGGAGACCCGCTAGAGGGTCCCTGAGCGGGACCACACTTTCAGAGAAGGCCCAGAGTGGGCTTGATGAGAGTCCCAGTGAGGAGCTGGGTATTAGAGAGAGCCCAGAGCGGGCTAGATTACAGGAGAGGAGGCCCGGGAGAACGGGCGTGTATTGTGACCGGACATCGTCTATCCCATCTGCGAGGCTTGGGGCATGGTATTAGGGGTTGGTAGGAGCCACGCGCAGCCCATAAGGCTAGGGTGCCTGGGAAGCACCCATCATACCGGGAGACCACAGGAGTCCGGGAGAACCGCGGGGACAGAGGTCCCGAGTAGCCGTGCCCAGGGAGTCATAGGCAGCCTCCCAACCTTATATTTACCAGCAAGACATGGCGGGCGAGAATAAGAGGGTGTCTTGTGCCGGCCTTGACACGGAACGAGGGACCTTGAGGAGATCACGGCCCTCCTGACGGACCCCGCCATGACAAACACACACAAAAATGTTTATAGCCTTACATATATAAACAGCTTTTATATAAAAATAACTATTAATTTTTCCCTGATTTACTATTTAGCTACATCTCTCAGAAGTCAAAGAAAAAATTATTCTCATCTTACTAACGGAAATTAATCAGAGTTGTTCATCATTTGGGGAGTCAAGAAGATTATCCAGAAAATTGGACTTATCTGTCATACAGCTATGTAGAACAGTTCCCAGAAGCAACAAGAAAAGTTACTGGCCCAAATTTAAAGGGGCTATAACATGTGGTGCAAGACACATGACAGTAAGTCAGTGCACAGAGAGGTACCTTCAAGTTTCTGCGAGTTGACTGTCCTGCTCTCTCTCTAGTTTCTGCTCCCTTGATACGTAAGATACATTGCCTTATTTTCATTTACAGATGTGTAACACAACATTCTACATAGCACCTCTGGTTTTACACTTTGTAGTTAAGTATAAAAGGAGTGTAAAAGCAGAGAGGTTAGGGCCATCTTGCTGTGCTCCTAGAGATGCAAGTTTAAGCCAAGCTCTGGACTTGTGCTAAAGAATGTCCTCCGTTTATCCAACTGTAACAGGTATCTGGTCATCTAAGCTGGGGAGTCAAAGGCAACTAGACATAATGCTACCATATCACTCTCTTACATGCCATTGACTATGGAAATGGATGTAC